TTGTTTTTTCATATAAAAAATTCGCCGAAATCTATCAACATGGGTTCAGGTTTTGAAGATCTTGAAGCAAGAAATCCATCAAACATACGGTGTTGTTTAATAAATAAATATTTTAAATAAACAAATCTACGAAAATGTTTTGAGATTTGGATGCACAATTTAATAGATAAACTACTTTAAAAAGACGAATCTACGAAAAATGGAAACTCGGTGAGAGTGACCTTTGTAAGGGTACCCCTTAATTAGTGATTTCAGTGAAGAGATCTATTTTAGGGAACAATGGAGAGATCTTATGGTAAAAGCATGACGCGCCCAGCCCAGCCCACTGTTAACAGTAGAAGACATTGTGAGGTAATGGTTTGGCCAACTCAGTGGTACAGTGCCTTCCCCACCGGCCTGAACTGTTTTTTTTTTCATGTTCCTTTTTTCTGGTTTTTACTTATTTATCTCCTTTTAGTTTTCTGTTCGATTATTCTTTTGTACTCTTCCCATTTTAAATTCTGTGTCATTTTTTAAATTTGATTTTTTAAATTCATATGCATTTCTCCCAAATTGGCCAACATTTAATGAATTCTTCAATATTTTTAATTTGTGAAAAAAATTTAGATTCGAGATGATTATTTTTTCAATTCGAGAATGTTTATGTATTAACAAATATTTTTGGAATTTGCAGAGATAGATTGAATTTCGCAAACATATTTTCTAATTCGCGGGCATTTTTTAAATTTATGGAACAACTCAGAACATTTTTTAAATTCATCAATAATTTCTTAAATTTTTTTAAAAAAATTGAAGTTCATGATACATTTTAAAGTCCATATATTTTTTATGAAAATTTAAACAAATGAAGAATAGAAATGCACGTGAAAGAAAGAAAAAGCAGGGAAAGAAAGAAAGAAAGAGAAGCGCGAGCAAGTAGAAAGTGGGCCAGGCCATGTACCGACGTTAAACTCACGCGTACGAGTTTGTTGAATCCCCGCGCGCATGTCGCACAATACGAGCTCCTGGAGCGAAACTGCCCTTAGCTCGAGCTCATATGAGCTTTATGTGAACAGTAAAAAATGAAAACAAAATTTGAAATTGTATTGTGGCAAACATTGACAAATGTTTTGAATGCTTGCTAAGTTTTCTCATGGAATGATATTCGGGTAGTCGTGGCAAAAATAAAATCAACACTTCAAAATGCTTTTGAAAATAATACTTTTGGACCATTGATTTTCTTTTATTTTTGCCCAGACTTCCCACGGATGTCATTGCATGATGAAACTTTGTAAACAATCAAAACATTTGTACAATGTTAGCTAAAAAAATAAGATTTTTTCCCTTTAGTACTTTGTAAACTCATATGAGCTCGAGCTCAGATAATCCGTGTTGAATATATGGTTTGTGCATGTATGTTGTATAGCCCGGCCCACCTTCTAGTCATTGTATAGTTGAGGTTGTGGCCCACCTTGTACTCTCCATATATACGTGCGTTATGCACCAATCAATACATCGTGAAGCATAGCCAAAACACTCGTTTCCAACAATCCGCGTCCCTCACACTTTTTTTAGAATACCCGCCCTTGTACTTCATTGGTGGAGCTGCACCATTGACGACTTGACGGTGCCCTACTGAGATGTAGTGTTACTTGCCATCTGAAAGAGTTTAGATGCCTGAGTAGATAGATGGCTTGACCCTTGGAGACGTGCATTCCTCCCTCTTCATTGCCACCATGCCATGCACAGGTTCTCCCTCCCTTCATCTGTAAACTGTAGATGACTATGTAGATTATATGTTGTTACATCGTTCGTCCTGCTGACACGTGAAGAACAGAGCCGAGCGATTGGCGTGACCACCGAGGACAGAAGAAAAAGGATTGCAAATAAGTAATCGCTCATGATGCAAATTACTGACAGGGTTTCTGCATCTAATCTAACAGTTTATAATTATCAAAGATATCACCGCCACCTTATTATAACAGCCCAACGATGGCGTGAAAATCGCCGGCCGGAACATACAGACACAGATCATTTTATACTGCAGCAGTGCCGACTCATTCTTCCCAAAATCAAAGCAGACGATACCCTCCCCCTCCCGCGACGCTCCCGCAGGCGTCCGGGAGGCAACCCTAGCGCCGTTGCCGCCACCCCCCTCCCTCTCTCCCTCCTCCCTCGCCTCCGCCAGGGGGCACGAGTGGGCGAAGCCCGATCGTCGCTGGCGGCGGCGGGGCCCTTTCGTCTCCTTGCGCGGGAGGTGCGGTGCGGGCCGGATCTCTGGCTGGGATGTTGCACTTGATGCTGGGCGTAGCAGTGCGGCGGCGCTCCAAAGTGGGCCAGCGACGGTGGCGTGGCGTCGGGCGACGGGCGGCATGGTGGTGGTGTAGGTCAGCGGGTGGCGTTGGCGGCGGCTGCCTCGCAGCAGCGCCTCGACGCCATGTCTGGCGCTGCGGGTCGCGGGAGACTGGGTCGCGGGCGGCCCCTCTCGTCGTGGATCTTTGGTGGAGGGGCGGCGCGGCATTGGTGGAGGTGGGCGGCCCCATCCAGCCGGGCCCTTGTGGCTGGACGGCGCCGCTCGGCGCAGGAGGGCCTCCCTGGTGACCTCTCATGGCTGCGGCCTCGGCGGTTTCGTGCTCCCTCCTCCTCGGCAGCGGGCGGTGGTCGGCGCTCTCCTGCGGATCTGGGCGCGTTTGGCTTCGGGGG